AAATGGGACATGGGTCATAACCTATTTTTGAGATGAAAAATCGCTAGGACGGGTACAATTATGGAAAAATCGGCTATTGAAAGCCAACAGTTTGAAACCTTTAATCATTAACAGCTGATGCAAGACAACATCTGGGTGACACACGCCAGGCCCCATCGTTGAACGATGGTTGAAATATGTTCGTAAGCTGTCAGGGTTGAATAAGACTGTAATTTTGATCATATCTCGCACACAAAATTCGCAAGCTCTTCCCGGAAAACGCACATCATATCCTTCTTATCACACCTTTAGGACCTGTGAGTCATTTACATGGCATGTTGGCGCTTCATTGTCATGAATGCACATGAGATGCGTTCCACATCCAAACTTTTCGTCGAAAGTGGAGTTCAGTAATCTGGTGTGCTATGCAAAGGATGATCCTTTTTTAGCTTGATCTGTCTCATCTTACCGTGCATACACGCAGGAGGTGTCGCTCTCTAAAATCGGCAACAGTAGGGTGGGGGGGCTGAGGTAACACCACTGATGTATTTATGCGCTAAACCACAAAAACAAAGACAAGTTGAATGAAATGCTACATAGCCATGAGACATTCCCGTTTTGGAAGTTCATTTACTGGCCATCATATACTGAATGGTGGTTGAGACTTAAGTAATAAAATAGTCATATAAAGGCACACTTAACATCACCAGCCTAGAGGCGCGTAGTTTCCTTTTCAGTTGAGGGGAGGAGGGATTGGAACTCCTAACCAGCGGTGAAGCTTCCTATGTTTAGTTTTCATTTTTATCCGCTATTTTTCACTATTCATAATCTTCACGTCTCAAACCCCCAAGACTAATTTCAAAACCCCAACAGTACCCATAGATTGTTTTTCCTCTGGAGTGCACCGCACAAAATGTGTTGACTGCTTTTTTGACACCGCTTTTGTGTGGACATCCAGGTGCAAGACGTATAGTCAAACTGTACTTAAAACTATGCCGTCTCGAAATGTTGTAAAGCTCGTCGCGATGGCTCAGTGAAGTCACTTAATTAGTGGCAGGGCAGGGTAGGTCGTGCGGGGTATTGCAGCACGTTGAGCTATTGCCGCAGAGCTCTCCCTTCAGCCCAGAATTTGACTGCGGCGTACTGGGCTTAGGGGTCACCAAACAAGTACTACTTAGCGTTGGTGCTCATCCTAGAAATGCACCCATGCAGATAGCAAGGGTTACATCTTTCAAAGGGAACATAAGTATCTCCATTATCGAGAATTACAGTTAAGCAACGCCATGACGTTAAGAAAGCAGTCCTTACATCACAAATGCGAAGGGCGGCGTACTTGATGCACCTGATGCATCTTCTGGTGCTCAGCGATATGAGCGCACTTGTGCTCAAGTATGCACCTTCTGGTGCTCAGCGATATGAGCGCACTTGTGCTCAAGTATGCACCTTCTGGTGCTCAGCGATATGAGCGCACTTGTGCTCAAGTATGCACCTTCTGGTGCTCAGCGATATGAGCGCACCTGTGCTCAAGTATCATTTCTTTCTCGTCAGAATGGATCCCTGGGACACTGAGCCAGGCCTGCTAATTGTGTAATAACTTCTCGGATTAGTGATACACCAATATCAGGTCGCAAAGAGGCCATAGAAGGGTGAAACAAGCGGACTGCAAAGCAAACATATTGATGTGAAACTTTTTTCATGCGGTGTGTTTCTTGAACTCTTACCACATAAGTTAACTCACGCTTTACCCAACAGTGTCAAGTGTATTTCTTGCACGATCAAGACTGCGGTGGCATTCAAACGACGATTCTATGGCAAAATATGATAAAAATAGTGGCAGTACCAAGCGATCTCACCTTCGCAAAATCGGGACTCCACAGACTCCGAGAATTCTGTCAACACCACCTGAGAGCGCCACATTGCTTACACTCTGACGCCCTTCCGGGCGCCCCTCTCCCCTTGGGTGGCTTCACGTGATCAGCCGGGACGAGGAGTGACTCCAGCAGGGTGGTGTCACACTGCACATGGCACGGACGTTACTGGATACTGGATGTGGACTGAACGTCACTGGATTTGGTCGACAACTTCGACCAGAAGACAGACCACCTGCAGTAGATTCAGTTTTTGCGCATCCTGGACCGCCAGGAGCCCACCTCGGACATTCTGGACCACCGAGGACTCACCTCGGGCATCCTGGACCGCCAGGAACTCACCTCGGGCATCCTGGACCACCGAGGGCTCACCTCGGGCATCCTGGACCGCCAGGAGCCCACCTCGGACATCCTGGACCACCGAGGACTCACCTCGGGCATCCTGGACCGCCAGGGACTCACCTCGGGCATCCTGGACCACCGAGAACTCACCTCGGGCATCCTGAACCGCCAGGAGCCCACCTCGGGCATCCTGGACCACCGAGGACTTACCTGGGACATCCTGGACCACCGAGGACTCACCTCGGGCATCCCGGACCACTGAGAACTCATCTCGGGCATCCTGAACCGCCAGGGACTTACCTCGGGCATCTTTTGCAGCCATGACTTGACGGATGTGTGAACTTTTGAAGACTACCGGTGTCGCTGCTCGTGTTTTATAATTGAATAAGCAGTCGAATGCAGTGCAGCTATGATGATACGACGCATCCGCTTGTCACCGTCGAGGAAAACGTTGGTTAGTTTTTACCTGGGCAAACCAGTGCTTTAGGAAACTGGCACAAATTGTAGCCATTTTTTGTTCTGTCTTGATCCACCTGTGTTATCTAGTGAAACACTCGCAAACATTGGCGGATTGCCCATACATGTGATAGAGCTGGCATTGAGAAAACACATTAGGTACCCACGCGATACTATCTGGTGCAAAATTAACATGATATGGATTGCGATGTGTTTAGCTGCCACGTACAGCAACGGTTCACAAGAATTGTTTTTTTTTCTCAAGCCTAGCACTGTCGTTTTTCTCATGTGTAAGTGGAGAGTTCCGAAAAACGTTGGGGGGCTCACGTCGGCCCGCGAGAGTATATAAAGTGACGCTTTTGCATACATATCATACTTGCTAGCGCCACATCGGCCGCAATGTCTGAGAAAGGTGGAACAGCACGGGATCTTGCTGCTGTGCAGGACAGCACCGGCGGATCTGACTGTCCGAGGCCCGCTGGGGCAGCACCTGTGAGTGTGTACGGCTGTGAGTGAGTATCGGCTGGTGAGTGTCGGGTATGGCGTGCCCCAAACTACCTCGCAAGCGGCCCCTGTTCAAAGCTTCGCACGCGATCCTGCCGTTGTCCTGGCAAGGGCATGTTCGGCTCGACCCTGACCATGAACCCCGGATGTGCCATCAGGGCTCCTGGAGCCTGGCACGGCCTTCGCCCCGGCCAAGATGGTGTCGATAATCACCCCACTGGCCAGCGGCGGCTGCACCGGTGAATCATTTTGCCGCTTGCAGCTGCAGTGAGCCGGCGATCAAACTCCTTTTGACAGTGATAATGGTGCAATTGGTTTTCCCAGCGCCAATCGTCTGGGCCATGGGCTTGAACATGTTGTCTGCATGCCTGCGAAATCACTTAGCAGAACGGGCCGGTGCATTAACATGCCGGCCTGGCAAATGCACCGAACATCCCTCAATGGGCTCCCTGTGCCGGACAGTGCTACCGCCTGATAGTCTTAAAGAACTTTACCGCGATAACCAAAGGCAGAACGAGTTATTACGCAGAGGCTATACTTCAGCTTCTCCAGAATTTCGCCGACCTGTTTGTGCTCGCCGACCGCCACGAATGTCGTGTTTGTCTTTGCCTCCGTCTGCACAAGCTTGCCGGTGTTTCCTGAGGACCAGCTTTCCCGGTGCTCTCTGACGCTAGTTCTTATCCGCCTCCCCACCACCAGACCGTCCCACTTTTTTGCGACAGCTTGGCGCTATTTTATTTGGCACCAGTTCGTTTCCGCCTCGATTGTCACCAGCCAACCCTGTTTGCCTCGCCACCAGCCAGTTTCAGCCACCTCCAGCACTAGCTTGTTCCAGCCTCTCGCGGGACCAGCCCAGTCCCGCCTTCTCATGCACCAGCCCATCTCATTTTCCTCTAGCATCAATACATCACACCTGTTTCTGCACCATCTTTTCCCGCCTCTCCGGCACCAACTTGGCTTACCTCTTCTGGAAACGGGCCATCCCAGCCTTTTACCACACCAGATGGTTTCAGCCTCCTCCTGTGTGACGGGCCATCCCAGCCTTTTACCACACCAGATGGTTCCAGCCTCCACGTGTGTAACGGGCCATCCCAGCCTTCGACCACACCAGATCGTTCCAGGCTCCTCCTGTGTAACCTCATCTCCGTCTCATACGATCATAGCTCGTCCCTCCTCCGGCACCAACTCGCCCCGCCTCCTCCATGACCAGCTCGTCCCCGACTTCTATGTCACCAGCTCGTCCCTCCTCCTCTGTAGTTTATCTACGGCAACCAGCTTGCCCCTCTCCAGTACCAGCTCTCTCCTTCTCCGTCACCACCTCATCCGCCTCCTTTGTCACCGAATCGTCCCCACCCTTTCCTGCACAATCTCGTCCCTCCCCGTCACAAGCTCGCCTTCCTCAACAGTTACCAGTCCATCCCCCCTCCGTCACCAGCTTGCCCGTCCCCTGTCACCAGCTCGCCCTCATCCTGCCACACTAGGTTGCCCCTCGCCCGTCACCAGTTCGCACTCCTCCTCCGTCACCCAGCAGCTCGCAGCTCGCCCTGCTCCTGTGGCACCAGCTCGCAGCTCGCCCTACCCCTGTGACAGTAGTTCGTGCCCCACCATCACCAGCTCGCCCTGCTCCTGTGGCACCAGTTCGTGCCCCACCATCACCAGCTCGCCCTGCTCCTGTGGCACCAGTTCGTGCATCGCCGTCACCAGCTCGCCCTCCTGCTCGTCCCGGCTCGGCAGCCGGCTGGTTCGGCGTGGCGAGGCGGCCGGGCGTCGGCCGTGGCCTCGGGCCATGCGGTGGCCTCGCGCGCTGGCCGACCAGCTCCGTGAGAGCAGGCGCTGCCGGTCAGACGCTCGCCGGCGCCCGACTCCGAGTGACGTGCCACCATGAAGCTCAGCCTGGCCCTGGTGAGTGGCGGCCGTGCAGCCGGTGGGCTCCGCCGCCGCTGGTCGGCGGGTGAGAGCGCCGCCCGTCGGGCGCCGGACGGAGACGGGGGCCGCCTCACCGTCGGCGGCAGCGCTCCTCATGCCGGCCACCGCTCGGTTGGCCATCAAGTGTCCGGCTGGCGGATGGCACAGCGAGCAATCCCGGTTATGGCTAGCGAAGAAATTGTTTTTGTGATTCCGGTGACGTGTCGGCTGGTATTCCTGCAGCAGCTTGAGGTGATGACTCCGACGTTGACTTCGTTTCCCAACCGATGGCCGTGGTCTTCTAGCCACACCTTTTTACATAACACATTGTGAAGTTGTAAGAAGTTTCTGAGCGGGGCCTTTACTTTTCCTGCATGCTCATCAAGATTGTGTCTTCGCTGTAATACTGCTGGCAGGAACATTCCACTCACTTCCATGTTACACAAAAATGCCTTTTAACGATGCTGTTTCACCAGGAACATTTGTTTGCTCCAGCCGGACTCGTTCATCTTGACATGTCATTGTATCGGAGGTAACAGTACTTTTGCATGGGTCAGTAGTTGGACGCATTGGTACTGGGGCGCTACTTGGCGATAGTTTGCTTGCAACTGTGTAATGACGTCAGCCCATGGGTTGTCCAATGTTGGCAACTGGTCTGCCATCCGGTAGGATCTAAACGTTCACTTTCGCCTGCTCAACCTTTCATGTTAAAGAAAATCTCGCAAGCGCACGGTGAACCCTACGATCACCGCACCGACAGCCAGACACTCCCACGCTATATACCGTCCTTGTCAGATGTTTCATTCGTACCTCCCCTCTCCCTTCTCTATGGAGCCTCCCACTCCCCCCCCCCCCTATCGGGGGGGGGGGACTCAGGACTCCTCAGCAGGACTCCTCAGCAGGACTCCTCAGCAGGACTCCTCGAAGCAGGGCCCTGGGGCAGCGGCTGGCCGCCGCCGCAGCCAGGGTGCCCCAGCGGCTGTGACCCAGCTCCGACTCGTTTGGAAAGGCAGCCTTGATCTGGCCTTGTCGCTCGCCGCGGCACGCAGAAGGTCGGCCGAGTGTTGCGGCGCACGTCCCCTTCTCGCCGCCGCCGCCGCCGCCGCCGTCGCCGCCGTCAGGTTGTGTACCCGCGGAGATTGGTTTCCCCACACTGAGCTCCGGTGCCGCAATAGCGCCGGTAGGGCTGCCCGTTACGCCACGGCTGTCCTGCGGTGGGGCCGGGCTCGACGGGGCCCGTCGCCGCGGCCCGACGCTGGCCGATCCTCAGCGTCGCGGGCGGGAGTACGCCCTGATACGCATCTGATGCATAGCATAGCCGGAACACAATCCAACGACCTCTCCAGGCCAAATCATTCAGGAGATTACTTCCGGAGCATAGGTATGTACCCCAAACATCCCTTTCCTGAAAGGTGCTTGCTATTTCATTCAATCCTCTTCATTTAGAGCCTCTTCCACGGCAAGGCAATTGGACAGCGCCACGCATCCATGTCAGGGAAAGTGGGCTATGCGGATATGCGGACCAAGTGTGCAGGATTATGTACGAGTCCACTGATGTTGCCTGTTCAGCATCAATGGCCAGGTCGCCATCGGGACAGCCGTCCCTGCCACTGATAAGAGAAGGGTTGGATTTCCCGATCTCGGGCCGCCGCAGCAGCGTGTGGACGGCAGACCGCCGCCGCCGTGCTCCACTAATGCATTTCCTCTGTACATCGGCATAGGGCGGTGCGTGGGCGTGATCGGAAGCAGGACAGAGCGCGGGGCAACCCACCAGGTCGCTGGGAACGAGCCGAGGGTGACACACGGCCGGTAGCGGGCGGGGACGAGCCGAGGGTGACACACGGTCGGTAGCGGGCGGGGACGAGCCGAGGGTGACACACGGCCAGTAACGGGCGGGGACGAGCCGAGGGTGACACACGGCCGGTAACGGGCGGGGACGAGCTGTGGGTGACACACGGCCGGTAGTGGGCGTGGACGAGCCGAGGGTGACACACGATCGGTAGCGGGTGGGGACGAGCCGAGGGTGACACACGGTCAGTAGCGGGCGGGGACGAGCCGAGGGTGACACACGGTCAGTAGCGGGCGGGGACGAGCCGAGGGTGACACACGGCCGGTAGCGGGTGGGGACGAGCCGAGGGTGACACGCAGGCGGCGGCGGGCGGCGGCGAGCTGGTCCGGCCCAATGGCAGCGGTGTTCGGTGCGAAGACAGCGTGACGTCAGACGACTAGCGCAAACTGTGGCGGGAGGTTGGATGGTGGAATTCGTTGCCTACCTTGCCCGTGATAGAACGCATGAGACTGGCTTCAGAAGTTACCAGACGGACGCTGTGTTTGCAGTCAACGAACATTGTAGTCGAACGAAGACAGGGGCTGACTGTACCGGCCCGCGGCACGTTCAGTCTGCCCCTTGCTGGCTCTGCCGCCCGCAGCAAGCGGGTGAATTCTCTGCTCCGCATTAGCTGTCCAACGATGCCGTGCATGCCGTTTGCATGGCTCCCGCACTAGTCACGGTTCTCGGTAGTCCAGCCCGGGCCGGCTTCATGCAGAGGCAAGTCATGATTTACTGTCGTCACGCGTCATACCCGCGGCCCATTGCACTGTCTGCCAGACTTTAGCACACTCTCGGCGAGCAGCATGAAAGAGGCGTCAGCTACAATAGATCGATGGTAGATACGTATAGATAGGTGGGATAGACCCAGCGCTTTCGTCCCTCAAGACGTATAAGGTCCGCTGCACATATGTAGAAATAGTGACAGGCTAAAGCAAAGTGGTGGCCGTGGCTGATTTCAGTTGAATCTTTTGTGCGCTTTGGCACCCCGAAGGGATGGAAACTAAAGACGTTTTGGTGTGGTCTTAGCGTTCATGAGTCCCATTCATAGCGAAGCGATCAAGACAAAAAAAAAAAAAAACGCTGAACGTTAGGGCGTGCCGTAGATCCCGTAGCGCGTGGTCGACTTACAGACATTCCTCAAGACGTGTTCAGTGAGCTCGCATTGTGAGCAGGCATGTTTATGTTCACGTGAATCCACTCTTCGCCCGCATGGGAATGTGGATCAACATGTGGGGGCATCTTGGCGAGTTACTAGCATAAATCTATATGTGTGTGATGACAGGTGCATGATTGCACCTGCAAAAAGTTGGGCGTGGTGCATGCTGTCCACGTACACCGCACACCAGGTGGCGGCAGTCCAGATTCCTTCGCCGCTGCCCAGCAGGCTGGCAGAGGCGTGACGGCCGCCCGTTAAGTCGAGCTCGCGCGGCTGCAGTGCGGCTCCCATGAACCTTCTCAGCGGAAGCGGCGGGCCGGTCGGCAGGATTGCACATCCGTGTGACCGGACCGCTCGGTCTGACCGGACCGCTCGGTCTGACCAGATCGCTCGGTCTGACCGGACCGCTCGGTCTGACCGGACCGCTTGGTCTGACCAGATCGCTCGGTCTGAGTGGACCGCTCGGTCTGACCGGACCGCTTGGTCTGGCCGGACCGCTCGGTCTGACCGGACCGCTCGGTCTGACCGGCCCGTTCGGTCTGACCGGACAGCTCGGTCTGACCGGCCCGCTCGGTCTGACCGGCCCGTTCGGTCTGACCGGACCGCCCGGTCTGACCGGACAGCTCGGTCTGACCGGACAGCTCGGTCTGACCGGACCGCCCGGTCTGACCGGACCGCCCGGTCTGACCGGACCGCCCGGTCTGACCGGACCATCTCGTCGGGCTGAGGCATCCAGTTTGACGTCTGGAGCCCCGTGTCTGACGGGAGCGTTTAGTCTGATCAGGCGTCAAGTCAGACGGCGGTGTTTCGTCTGGCTGGCCGTGCCGTGCCGTGCCGTGCCGTGCTATGATAGGATGAGGACGAGCAGGCATATGACCCTCGGCCCCCGGCCACCGGTCTCGGCAGCTAGGCCTCTCCTTGGCCGGTCGGCCATGAGACGCCACATTCACCCTCTGGACTCAACTGACCTGAGCCGTACAAATGTTGCCACCACTGGCAGGGCATGGTACATGTGCAGATAAGCGGACGGTGATGGACGCGGCGCCGGTGGGATCCGAACTAGACATCCTTTCACGTGGCGGCTCTACTAGCGGCGTTGCCTCGCAGCCTATCAGTATACAGTGAAAGCGAGACAGCGTAATGCAGATGGGCCGCAGGAGGCGACACTGAACCTAGTGTGCGTCCACTAATTCAAAGGACGCGCCTTGGCCAAAAACTCGTCCTTGTGATGCATCATGCCGACTTCGCAAAACGCCTCGCTCTGCAGCGGAGAGAGCTGGCACGGGAAGTATGCCCTTGAGCACTCAAGCAAACATCAGCACTCATCCCCATAAAGTGATAATGATTCTATTGTGCCGACAAGTCTGCCTGATGGCAGGATTTATAACTGGATCTTACGCTGTTGTTGAGAGTTGTCGGGAAAGACAGCTGACAATGCTGTACGGCAGTGTTTGTACCGCCCCTCCCCCCCCCCCCCCCGCCCGACTGGATGGAAGAGCGAAACCTAGTCCGCTCCATTTACCGGCGCTTTGCCAGCGCTGCTGAAGGCGAGGGCAGCCAGCCGGTGCGACATTGTTAGATAGACCGACAGCATCTGTCTACACACTGAATCACAGCTACCAGGGGCTCGTGCTACCCAATACCAATGGGCGGCCATTGGTTTGGCTCCCTTGTTTCGACGGGATCTTCGGTTGTGCACCTGACGATTTCGCCACATCGTGTAAACATATTGTTGTCCAATGGCGTGAAGTTACACGAATGTCTGGAGTAGTGAACCCTGCACAGAGATGTAATTATAGCGAAGGTCGCAAAAAGATAAACGTGCAGATGACAGGAGCCAGCAGTCGCTTCAATGGCTGGCCTGTGCAAATGGTAACTTGGAGAGCGTTGAACGTCTCGTGAGTTGGCCTGGTTTTGGGCCGATGAGTCTGCTTTAATGTGCTGTTAAGAGTCTGGCAAGCATACCCCTATCGTAACCGTCACCTGACGTACCAAACGGATATACCGCTC